AGGGGGCCGGGGTCCCGGGTGCCGACCCCCGGAACCCCGGAACCCTGGCGGGGTCCCGGGGCCGGGGTTCGACAACCCTGGAAATAACCATTTAGCAGTAAGCGGTATGCGGGATTGATGAAGGCATTGACAGATGGAGTGGGTCAAACGAACCCTTTGATGTTGTTGTACGTGTTGTTAGAGGACGTTAGGAGACATAGTGGATCATTGACGATCCCAGAGATATTCGCATCGGGAGTGATGTTGTTGGAGGATGTCAAGGATGGAATACAAATAGAGTGGGAGGAAGGAGGAGCGATAGAAAAGTCACAACTTTCGACGTGGGAGGCTATGTAGCGGTTAGAAAAGTATAGCACGGGGTATGGAACCCAACGGGGAGTCTCCAGCATAGAGTACAGGTCGGGGAACACAGCACTGTGTTTCACTGTAGGAGCCTAGATCGATCCGTCTTAGGGAGAACGGTAATGGATGGTATTTTCGAGGAGGATGAGATCGGTGCTTGCAGCTTGTGCGCCAGCATTTCGAAAGTAGTGCGGTGGGCGACGGCAGGCGGAGACAAAATTTGTTCGTGTTGGTTGCACGCACTTTCAGGCGGGGAATGCAATTTGGGGGACGGTCATTCTGTGGGTCGTGTGGGTAGAAAAACATCAGATGCGTTGGGGGATTTGGCCGTCGAGAACGGGGCAGTGGAATCGGTGAACCACATGGCACGTCTTCATTGGCGTTCCTGTTTTCAAATCCCTGTACGGGATGAGGAGGAGGGGGGGGGGTACAAGGAGCGAGGCGCCGTAAGGGAGGAAGCAATGAAAGAAGTTGTTCGGGGGGCATTGAATCCTCCTTCGGCAGAAGACCGTAAACCCGTCATTGTCATTTTACGACTCATGGATAGAAAATTTTACGAGGAATTGGAAGAAACTGAAGTGTCGGATAAGCACATTGTGGGATGGAGAGAAAATGTGGAGAGAGGGACATCGGACAACATAAAAAGACGGATGGCTGCTTTGAATAGGTCAAACGAAAACGAAATGGGTTTGCACGCTACAGTTTGCGTTGGACTCGCGGGCGGTATTGATTGTGGCAATGAATATGTGATTCTATCAGAGCATCGCAATATCGGTCGAGTGGGTGGGGATGTTGGTGGGCATCGGCTCATCGCAATGAATTTGGAGGAGTTTGTCATTCGCACATGCGAGATATGGGAGCCGGTTGTGAGTAGCAAATTGAATTTCGTGGAGCCACATTACATCTTGCTGCCGATATCGAGCGAGATGGGGGGAGCGACCCCCTCTATCGTGGGGGAGGAGCACGAGGGAAGGAGGGTCAGAAACAGAGTCAATCCCTCGGCAATTGGAAGTCGGGGGAGAGAGGAAGATAATGAAGGGAGAAGGGGAGAGGATAATTAACCTTCACACGGAAGGGGAGACGATGAAGGAAGGGAAGACGAACAGAGAAGAAAAGAGGGAACGAATGATGAAGCAGTAGTAGGGTTGACAGGGGAACAGAGGAGAGAGAGTGGAGGAAGGTCGAAAGAGAACATCGTGCAAGCACCCGCGAATGCAACGGCTCCTAAAAGAAGCCGATGTACGAGAAGAGAAGGAGTAGACGGTCGTGCAGAAGCTGCTGCTGCAGGCAGCGTTGTCACGCGGGGATCCCCGGGGCCCAAGCCGGGGTAGGGGTTTCAACCCCGGAGCCCCGCCGCGGGGCTACCCGACCCCCGCCCCCGCAAAA